CTGAGACGAAAAAATTTGGCAGACATGTCCAGGACGTCCTGTTCTGAACTGTCCACTGTTCACGTCCGTATCCTATGACAATACTGCCTTGGAGTATTACTAAAACATATTGTAGCAACTTCTCCAGCTGTTAGTATATTATATTATCTCATATCCTTTCCATGAGTATTATGAATAAAAATCTCTAATACTTCTTTTTCTCCTTCTGTTCTATTTTTTTCCTCTGCAGTTTAAAAAATATTTATAAAAGGATTTATTGTAAGTAATTCTTCAAAAAGTTCTTTTAAAATCCCTTCATCTAAAGTTTCTTCCATAATTTCATTTCTTTTTTTAATTTGCTTATTAATATTAGAATCATAGAAATATATTTGAGCAAATTTTGGTAGTTGGTCTTCATCACTTAGTATTAAAGAACCAATTTGATAATAATATTGATCCTGAATCCTATATGTATAATTTCTTTCTCTGGTATCAGCAAGATCTTTATCTAAATTTGTACTAATTGAACTAAAAGCAAGTACTTGATTATATGCTCCTATTTTATTTACAAATAGTTCTTTAGATTTAGGATCTTTTGTTGTAAGAAATTTAAATAATTTCTGTAGTAATAGAGCAAGTAAAGCTAATTGTACTTGTCCATTTAAGCAACAAAGACTTTTTGCTTCTTCTTTCCATTTCAATACATAACAATGTTCACAAATAATGTCTATTTTTCCTAATCTATATTTCTCATCCTCTATATCCTCCCCTACTATTCTATTTTCTAAATAATTAGCTAATGTACAATATCTTATTCTAAAAAATTGTTCATATTGTTCTTGTTTCTTCTCCTCATATTTTTTTTTCTTTCTCTCTTTGTCTTTTTTTTTTACTTCTTCTTTCTCTTGAACACTCATAGCAGCTCTTTTTTTTTTGTTGTCTCAATTTAGTAGCTTATTGTTTAAGTGTTTTTGTTCTTGCTACAACTGGTAAGTTTTGTTGTATTTGGGACCTTGTTCTTGTTAAAGGTCTAGCTTGTGTTTGAGTTTGTTATTGTTGTTGTTGTTGTTGTTCTTGTTATTGTTGTTGTAAAGAAGCATCAAGATTTTTATAATATCTTGATTTAGTAGTACTTAAATTTTTTAATCTTTTTTTTCTTACTTTTTTAGTTTTATTTTCAGGTTCAATATGAGCTATTAATAAGTGTTTAGGAGTTGGTCTTTGTCTTTTCTGTTGTTCTGACATTATCCCATCTTAAGCTATCTCAATAAAAAAAAAAAAAAAAAATTCAGCAAATATGATTAATTATTTGTTATATTTGTAAAGAAAACAAAAGGTTTATAAAATAAATAATATAAATTTTTAAAAATTTTACTTGTAAATGTTGATTTGTATCTATTTTTTAAAAATTTTAATTTAATAATTTTTTAAAATTTTAGATAAAATATATATTAAACTTACAGTTTTTATTTAATATTAATAATTATTAAATAATGTAGTTAAAAAGTTTTATTATTAAATTTTATATTTTTAAAAAGTTTTTTATAAAAAAAAAATTTAAAATTTTTAAGTAAAAAAATTATTTTTTTAAAAAAAACTATTTTTATTAAGTTTTAAAAAAGTTTTCTCTGAAGGTTTAACAATTTGTATCATGTAATATGATATGCAAATCCGTTTGTACAACTTCTACATTGTATGATTTAGTAATTAAATTAAATTTAATTTAATTCATATAACTTAATTTGTCATCGTTATATATTAATTTCTGCAGATCTATACCTTACAGAATTTAATTTTTATCTTTTTTCGATAATTCCACTTTATATAAGATAAGGGTGTGACTAATCATCTATGTGATGAATAAACATTTGATATGTGACATTCATATTAAATACTTATTCATCACATGATAATTTGTTATACTCAAAACTTCAGCTAGCAAATAAAAAAAGAAAGGGTGTGACTAATCGTCTATGTAACGAATAAATATTTGCTATGTAACATTTATATTAAATACTTATTCATCACATAATAAGCTGTCACACCTACAACTTCAGCTGGAAAATAAAATTTTTTTAACAAAGTATTATTTTTATATATTATTTATTATCAAAAAAAGTACTATATTACAGAGGCATGATGGAGAACTATGCTTTATTAATGAAGTGTCAGCTGGGGCTAATCAATGACTCTCTATTACTAAATCATATAATCTTAAAACTAGAAAAATTCTACAAATTTTCTAACCTACTAATTCAAACAATACTCAAAACACTATATATTTATTATAATATTCTACTACAACAAAACTATACCTCAAATCATATATCTCAGGAAACTCTAACTTCCTCACTATCAAATAATGAAATAATAGCTCAATCTTTAAAAATTCACTAACTCAATACTAATAGCTTACTTGAGAAATACAAACAACTAAGTCTAATTGAACTTATTACAGAAAACCAAATTAATATATTTGGTATCTCTAAAACTCACTTCAACCTAAAAGAAGTAAAATTTTCAACAATATTCAAAAATCTTACTAATTACCAAAAATTTTGAACTCTTTGTAATCATAGACAAGAAGGCATAAGAATTATTCTATATAATCAACTAGCCAAACATATAGGAAAAATTCAAATCTTTAAAAACTTTCTTATTCAAATAGATCTCTATTTCAAAAACAATCATATTAAATTTATCCAAATTTACTTTCTAACTCAGGAAAAAAAACAACAACATAAAGAAATTCTCACATACCTTACTCCAATCTTTAATACAACAAATCTCAAAATAATAATTATGGGTGATCTAAATGGTACTTCAAACCCCAAAATAGATAGATTACTAACTAAAAAATCTAACTTACCAGAAAACTAACTACTCAAAATTCTAAATTATTATAAGTTCTATAATACTTTTTGTTTATTTCATCTTTCCTCCTTAAAATATACATATATATACAACAATAGTGTTAGACGTATTGATCAAATATGGACTAACATCTATATTACTCTTCTTGACTATACTGACATCCTTCCTAATTCTTTTACTAATTCAGATCACTCAATCACTAGCTTTGAAACAACAATCCTAATTAACAAATCTATTAATACAGAAAACTACACAAGAATTTCTTTCAAATGGAATCTAGCTCAAACTAACTAAATTAAAAAATATCAATACCATACTGAACAAAACCTCATTTGACTACTAACCTCTATCACAGAAATTTTAAATATCAATAATCTAAACAACATATAGAACCAAATCAAAAAAACAATTAACAAAGCTACTCTAAAATATATTCCTTACAAAAAAATTATATCTAACTCAAATCTATAAGAAATCTCTAAGCCTAATCTATCACTTCTCTACAATTAACTCAAAAATATTATCTTTTTAAAATACTTTTCAACATCTTCAGATATCTCACAACCATATAATTCCTATATAAAAAAATATTCTAACAATACTCTTCTTCCATTATTATATTAGAACTTTTTAGAAGAAATCCAAACTCAGATACAATCCTAATACTTCTTAAAAGTGAAATCAAAATCTAAAAATCCTCATACAAAAGAAGAAAAAAGACTAAACTCTACTTGAAATCCAAAACAAACTCCAAGAAAGAAACAATAACTTCACTTAAAATCCTAAACTCTTCTTTCGTAAAACTCTTAAAAAACCAAATAATAGTATTAACTTAGACTGCTTTCTCACAAATAACAACTTAATAACACAACCAGCTGAAATCAAATCAGCTCTCAATAATCATTTTCAAAACTACCATACTACACTGATTAAAATACCCAGGGTCTAAAACAAAATACCTAATCAAAATCTTATAAAATACCTAGAGGTATCTTGATCAGTAGTGAGTATTTTGTGTAGTAGGGTATTTTGTAAGAGAAGTATAATACACAGAGAATTTTATCATTATACATAATCTTGTATTGCAAGACAAATTAGGTAAATTCTTTGTCTTAGATATTCGTAAAACAGAATTTTAAGTAATATAACCTAATTATAAAAGATAGCAGTATGATCTTGTACATATACATAGATCTAGTAATTTCTTGTCTATTCTTTTTTAAAAAATTAAATAGAAAGTATATAAAATTTAAAGTATATTTAATAGAAGAAATACTTTAATAAAATGATAATATTTAAGAACGTTTAGCAGAAAATTGACTAAAAAAAAACCAATGGAAGTAGCAATAACAAGGGCAACAGCAATAGTAACAAGAGCTATAAGAACAATGATAACAGCAAGAGCTATAAGAACAATAGTAGCAATACCAATATCTACAAAGATAACAGATATATAAACTAGCAAGAACTACAAGTAACTTCTATTATAACAGTAGTGCTTGAATTTTTAAAACTTAGAAAAATTTACTAGACAGCTCATAGTATGTATTTTGTTATTATAAAAGATTGATCACAAGATAGATAACAAAAACTGAACCTAGTTTTTGTTATCTATTTTGTAACTAGCACTTTGAGGTATCCAAATTAATTTTACACTAAATGAAAGTATAATTTTTAGGTTTATTAATAGTTAGATTTCTAATCAGTTGTAGTCTAAAAATTGGTAAAATTTCAAAGGCACTTAAATCTTATTGCTATTGAGATTTTTACTCTTCACTACATTAAGAATAATTGTCAAAAGTAACCTGTATAAAGATAATTGCATTACGAATAAGATTTGTAAGCAGAATAATTTTTTTAAAAAAAAAACTTAAATAAAAACTAATTTATTAAAAAAAAAGAATTCGTTATAGGTTTAATTGTAGGCACCAAGAATTTTCACTATACTAAGAATCAAAATGGTCTGTGAAAATTTTAAAGCTCATTGCGCCTAAGTGATAAAAAAGAAAAAGTGATAATAGTCAGCACATGAAAAATTAATGATCATAACTTACTATGAACAAGGGCATAGCAAGCGTTCAACAGCTGATAAATTTGAAATAGAACTGAAGCAACTTAGAGAATGAATTCGTAAAAAACCAGAGCTTATGAAAGTTGCTCTATATGTTCAAAAGTTAGTACCTGGTGCTAAATCTAAGTATCCTGAGCTTGAAGTTAAGTTATTTGAATAGTTTCACAAGGCCTAATCCTAGCAAAAGACCGTTAGTTGCTACATGATTCAAGCAAAAGCTCATTCCCTTACTACTACTTCTCGCTACTAAAGCCAGTTTCACGAGATTGAAAATCATAAATTTTCCCAAAAATAGGTAGACGAATTTATGTCATGACATAATTTGGTTAACTGTAGGCATACAACTACTACTCAACATCTTCCAGAAACTTATAATAAAGAACAAAGCAAATTTTTATTTCTTATACTTTACAAATATCATAGTTATGATTATCCTTTATCTTTAATTTGCAATATGAATAAAACTGCTGTATCTTTTAATATAACAAATGCTACCACAATTGAAGAAAAAGTAACCAAAACTATATCAATTGTATCAACTGAGCATGAACGTTCAATGTTTACTGTTGTTTTAGCTTGTTTAGCTGATGGTACAAAGCTCCTACCTTTGATTATTTTTAAACTAGTCAAAGTACTTCGTAAAGAATTTCCTAATAATGTTATTGTACGCGTGAACTCTTCAGGATAGATGAATGAAGATGAAATGGTATGGTGAGTAGAAAACATTTAGACTCGATGAGCACAACATGATAATAATCCATGTTCACTTTTCATTATAGATGCATTTGCTAGTCACATAATAGATCATATAAAACGACAGTTTTAAGAAAAAATACTGACCTTGCAATAATTCTCTATGGTTTAACATCCTGACTACAACCCCTTAATGTTTCTATAAACAAGTCATTTAAATCAAAGATAATTTTTAATTTATTATAATATTTTTGATTTTATTTGAGATGCAGATATTTTTTAAGTTAAGGGTAGCTATTTTCTTGTAGTATATAAAAATTAGATAGCTACTATATATATGTGCCTAAATTGCCTACTTAATAAAAGTAATTACAGCACTTAGGCAGCTGAAATTAGTTTTATATAGTACCAAAATTAATTTTTATATATGTTAAAATTATTGCTGAAATTTTTTGAACTCTTTTTATTAAAATACATCATATAGTATAGTTATTTCAGAGGTTTCATATAAAAAATTTAGTAATATTGAAATATTTGCTAAAAATACTTTTTTTCAAAAATAATTTAAGCACACATGTATAGTAGCTATCCATATACAGCTATACAGTATATTATTTTATGTTCTAATGTCTGCATTTTTAATCTTTACTTAATTTTTTTTTTTCTAATATAAATAGGTTCGCTACTTATATAACTGATGGTTTAATGAGGGTATCAAGGAATTTATATGTTCGCATAAAATAAAACATCTGTCTTATAGTTTAGTTGCAAGTTGGATTAGTAAAGCTTGGAAATCTGTTAACCTCAACTTGATTAGAAAATTATTTAAATGTTGTGGGATTTCGAATGTGATAGATAGAACTTAAGATGATTTAATCTTTGACTTCTCTCAAATTAATAATCAAATAAATTCAGGAAGAGAATCGAAAATCAAGCTAAAACAGCTAGTGATAATGAAGATGATGATGATGAAAAAAATAGTGAAGATAATGAAGAAGGTAATAGTGAAGAAGAAGACAGTGAAGAAGACGATAGTAAAGACAATAAAGAAGGAGATGATGAAGATAATTAAACAGTCAATTATGATGATGAAGATAATAATACACATGAAGGCCCTTTTGTGTATATCGAATATTATAGAGAAAATGAGGATGCCAATATTATTCAAGATTGGAATTAGTCACCACAATACATTTGGACAATGGGTATTTAATAAATATTGGTAAATAATTTTTATTTAAGAGAAAGTGAGCCATCAGACTTTTAGGTTTACCATTTATTATTTACCAAATTTAGTTCTTAAAAACTGATAGTAATATATATGATACAAGATCATGTTTTTTTTTAATCTTGTAAATAATAAATAATATGCCTGAATGCCTGATGTCTTATTATCTCCTAGTAACATTTATCCAAAATATTAGTTCTAGAGTTCTATATGTACTAAGCATCACACTATATCTTCATAGCACTCTATCTAGTACTTGCAGAATTCTAATTAGTTTACATATATTAATTTTTTATTATATTTATTACTTAGTATAATGCTATAAGATTTAGATTGTAATATTTATCAGCTCAAGTTCGAATGATAAATTTTAGTAAAGCTGTGCAAATAATAGTTCAAAAACTTTATTTCTGATAGACATATTAATTATTTTAAATATAATAAGATTACAAACTTCAATATTCATATTGAAATGTTCCAAATATGAAATGTGTTTTCTCTTTTAATAAAATTGAATGTTGATGTTAGTCAAATATTCACTATTGCATAGAAAACAACTTATATATTATATAAAAGTAAATACATATATTCTACTTACATTATCATCTTAACTATAGTAGTGTTAAAAATCTTTTTTAAAAAAAAATAAATAAAGAATATCAAGTAACAATTCTGATTAATATTACAAATTACAAACTTTTAATTCCAAGTATAATTTTGTATATAATCAAAGTATCTTACATAAAATTTCTGAGTCTTAAATATAATTCATTATTTAAATTTTATAAAATATTCAGGTATTATACGTGGTAAAAAAATTTATACTATACAAAATACTTAGGTATTTTATATGGGAGGTATAATAAAATGAGGGTCTCTTAATCAGTATAATATGGTACTTCTAAGAACTCCTATACACTCCTATTAACACTGATTCACCTTTTTATAATCTCTACAAACCACATTCAGAAAATGAGCATCTTTTTCAAAATCTCCTCTCAGAAATCACATCTAATGAATGGTCAAAAATAATAAAAGATCTTCCAAATAACAAAGCTGCAGAACTATCAGAAACTAATTATGAACATATCAAAATGCTTAATTCCAAAAGCCAAAATATTATCTATCTCTTTCTCTCAAAATGCCACTCTTTACAAAGTACTCCACTAGAATGGAAAACTTCTAACATATTTCTCATTCTAAAAAAATCATCTTGGAATTTTATATTGGACCAAGTTTGTCTAATCTTCTTTATTAAACTAATTAAAAAATGTCTAACCAAAGTATTTATTACACGCCTTGACCAAATTATAACTCAACATCATCTCCTAAGCAACCTAAACTTTGCAGCAACCAAAAACTGTTCAATATATATACCAATTCAAATCCTTCTAAATACTATCGAACATTACAAAAACAACAACAAAGAAGCATAAATTCTGTTCTAGGACATGTCCAAAGCCTTTGACAAAATCAACATTAATCGCCTTATTGATTCTTGCAAAAGAATTGGCATTCTACAAAATACTTTAAACTTTATTAAATTTTTACATGATGACAAGAAAGCCAAAGTAATCACTACTTATGAACTTACAAATCCTATTCCTCTTTATTCAGGTATCGAACAAGGTAAAACCTTCTCTCTACTTTTTTAGAAAATCTACTACAACTCTATTCTTTGCTATATCAACACCAAACACAACTCTAAATCTCTTAAAATCATATCAAACTCACTACTTGACCTCATATTTTCAAACAAATCAACACCAATTACAATCCTACCTCTTGCTTTTATAGATGATACAGTCTGGTACTGTGAATCAAGAGAAAACCTTCAAGAAATTCTTCATAATATCTTAGAATTATATCAATTAAACAATATTCAAATAAACCTCCTTAAATCAGATCTACTTTACATATCAAAACAAAAAAATTCTCAAACTAATCCTCCTCTAAATTATTCTTTATCTTTTAAAAATCAACAAATTCTATCTCGCAAATCAGATGAAACTATAAGATATCTAGGCATCTTTCTAGATGGAAATGGCTCATCCAAACCTACAACCAATATTATTACTAACAAAATAAATTAATTTACATATCTTATCAAATTCAAAAGGTTACTCTCTATCTATATATCAAGATTATTCAACACTATTCTTGTACTAGTAATCGAATACCTCCTCCAAATCTGTGTTTTATCTCAGAAAAAAATTAATTAACTCTCAAGTATTTTAACAAAAAACACTAAACATATACTACATCTATTAACAAACACAAACAACGACATCCTTACTAACCTATATCTCCTCAACATACCAACACTTAACAAACTACTTTTACTAACAAATAATAGTAATATCAATAGATGCCTCAATACAAATGATCTCCTAACTCAAATTATTCTAGCCTATATAAAAGAATAGCTAACAAAAATCTAGCAACTTGCTTTATCCAAAAAAACTATCTTCTCAAACCAAAGGAAAACATTTAACTTCACAATCATAAATCAACTAATTCTTTTATACAAAAACAATATATCACTCAACAACCTTCCTTTCAACAATTCACAAAACCAAAATCAAATACACCAACTCAACTCTATATACAATTTCCTTTCTATACTTAATATTGCAACAACTACAAGTCTCAGAAATAATCAAATTCTCTTTCTTGAACAACTTCTAATAGCAGAAAATCTACACTTTCTTCCATGGAAAAACATTTACTTAAGAATACACAAATCTCCTCATGGCCTAATTCCTAAATGGTACAAACTCCTTACAAACTAAATAACAATATTACCAATAACAGAAATCTGGTCAGATATAGAAATTAACCAAATTAACCCTTTCCTCAATACATTAAATCTTATCATTTTACAAAACCTAAACAAAAATTACTAGTCTCTTCTTCTCTCCTCAAATGAATTTAAAATTAAAAAAATAATCAACTATTCAACAACTTTAATAACTTTTCAAACCTACTAACTCACCTCTTCAAACCCAAATTCAATTCAAATCCTTCCTACACCAAACAAAATACAAACTAACTACAACCAAACAATCAACATAAAATGCAAAACTCAAAAAGAAAAAAACTAATTCAAACTTAGTATAAATCAACAGAAAATACAAGCTCTACAAAAAATTTTCCATATTCTGTCTAATTCACTAACACCAACACTTCCAGAACTAATTATTCTCTAACCTGATATTCTTCTAATTCAAAATTCAATTATTAACCTATCCTATCAAAATCAACTTATAACTTTTCATAATCAAATCCTACTACTAAACTCTGAAAATCTTTATTTCTACACAGATGCATCAATTAAATACTCACAAACACCAAATATAAAAACTAGTATCGTATAGATACTTAAAAATAATACTCAAATCAAATTTAATATATCAATTCCTTATGTTTCAAATTCTACAAGAGCTGAATTATCAGCAATTATATACCTCCTCCTAGCATTATCATCAAATCACAAAATTCATATACATCTAGATAACCTCTAGCAATTCAAATACTAAAAAATAGCCTACTATACAACTATTCAACTTAAACCAAAACTAACAACTGGGATATTATCTATATTCTAAACTACTTATTACAAAAGAAAATATCTAACTCATTACTTACAAAATAAAATCATATTCAAAAAACTTTTTTCATAATATTGCTGACTCTCTAGCTAAACAAAGTACTGAAAAAATTGAAATCTAACTTAATACTCAATACTTTTATTTTTCACATAGAAC